TATTAACATATATATATATATATATACACCTATATGCATATATGCTTGTCTCTGTGTCTGTGTGTGTGTGTGTGTGTGTGTGTGTGTGCACGAGAGTCTGTACTGCGCAAGTGAGCTCCGCCAGGCTGAATCCACTCCCGTCCTGGTTCTTTTGCCAGCTTCATGCTTTGTGGGAGCAGGGGCGCCGCTGCACAGACCGACAGAGACGACGGGGTGGTGCAATGCCGGCGGAGCAGACGTGACAAGAAGAAAGAAAGAAAGCAAAAAAAAAACCAATGTGATGAGCCAAGAAGGGATGACACCACGAGAAAAGAAGAAAAATTACATCAAGTCGGCAACAAGTGATTCAGGGAGGCTGGATCGCATTCCCCCCTTCCCCCCGCCAAAACAACCAAAAGCAAATAAATAAAAACTTAAAAAATAGACTGTGGTTAACTCTGTGCTTTGTGTATATAAGTGAGAAGGTGGGGAGTTGTCCGCGCAGCACACCCGATGCCAGTGTAGCAACAGCAATGGCAATCAGCGGAGGGGTGGGCGCGCGCGCGAGAGAGAGAGCGAGCAAAAAAAGAAAAAAAAAAGATACAGAAGACAATAGCAGCAATAGCCAAAACGAAGAATAACAACAAAATAAGAACAAATTACACACAATGAGTGGGGGACGGGTTCGCTTTACAGTGTCTCCCACGCTTCTTTTACCGTGTACTACTTGGGGGGAGGGGGAGAGGAGGAGTAGCGACCATGATGAAATGAACAGCAAAAACAAAAATGCTCCGCCCCTCGTCTTTTTCTGTTTGCTATTCTCCACATCGCCAATATATATATATATATATAGGTATATATACAGATATATATGGGGTGGGTGCACCAGTGGTCACCTGCTCGTTTTTCTATTGCGCCTTCTTTTCTTTTTCCTCCGATTCGGTAGTGCTCCAAAGGTACTATGCCCGGACTCTTTTTCAACTTTCTTTTTTTTTCCCAATATTGCGTTGACTCCTTTTTGATTGCGGATTCCACGAGGTGTATCGGTTTTTCCATTTATTGTTGGCACGTCATACTCACCCAGAGCGTTCCGTAGCGTTATACACCCCACCCTTGATATACAGCGAGATGTTTACTTTCCGTTCATTGCTCCATTCGACCTATGATCCAGTCGCTTTCTTCCCACGGTGCGCAGCGTGCGGATGCCTACCGTGCAATGCGGTGCTGCGAGCCGATTGAAAACTGGATTAACACAGAGAGGGCACGAACAGTTATACACCATATATATATATATATGTATATACACATGTGTTTCTGTGTACGTATGACATGCATTTGTATGTGTACATGGGTGTGGAAACAAGAAATGTGTGATGATGCTGCACAAGAGGTAATAATAATTCTCTATTTCTCCCCCTTTAACACACACACACACACACACACACACACACCGAAAACAACAACATCAACAACAACGGAGAACACCATACAAAAGTGCATGTATATATACACACACACACACCCGCCCATGTTGCCTACGTGACATTCGATGGAAGGGACGGCATTCATTCACCTGTGCTTATGCATGTTACTACAGGTGAGAAATGGGCCTTATACGCAGTCAATTAAATCCAACCGTATAGAGACAAGACCACGCTCTTCGCGTTGGACGATTCAAATGCATATGACGCTGTACATATGTAATTATACGCTCATAATTACGTACATGTGAATATATACAATTACTTTTTGACGCTTTCTTCTTCTTTAAAAAAACGATATATATATATATCTCGATCTCTCTCTCAACATATATACATATATATATATATATATATATGTATACACGCATGTATGTCCTCATTATGGGGATTTCATAGGGGCGATGAAACCGGGCGCGTCTTCCACCCTTCAAGAGCCATGTACACTGGGCGTTTAGCGAGAACCCTTGCCTCACTTCTGTTTCACCACTACCCTTCGAACTTATTTGTTTCTTTGTCTCTGCTGCTTCAATAGACACGAACCGTAGGAGAGAAAAAAGGCAACAAAAAATGATAAACGTGCACCCCCAGCCCACCGCTGATGCCCAGCTTCGCACTTCCATCGTTGCGGCCTCTGGCGAGAACCATCCCGTGAATGCAGTGCCCAGTCTTCCTAGTGAAAGTCTCAAGGGAGGCTTGCAGCAGCAGAAGCATGAGCAGCAGCGACAGCCGTCGCCTGGTGTGGCCGAATTTCTCGATGCCGCGCATAGGTCCTCTGCGCCGATTTTTGTAGGCGATGACGCTAACTTACGGGAAGCTTGGGCGGAATGCAACACCACATTGCAGTTGTTGCGCACCGAACACTTAGCCGCGCTGCGTGTGGCGTCAAATCGAACCTCTGTAGAATCTGTGTGCTCCTCCGAGGATATAAGCGTGGGTCACTGGGCGACCGGCGTGGAAGGCGAGGAGCGCGACAAGGTTGACACCTTCGGCCCTGCCCCGGTTGATCTGCTGCTGCCGCAGCGGGAAATTGACGCGGCCACATGCCCGGTGCGTTCAATGATGGAGGAGACCGGCATGTACGGATCCTGGCAGGTAGCGGCGTCGCGGCGCAAAGTAGTGAACTGCCGCTCACTAGCCCATCGTACTGCACTGGACGCGATTCGCCAACGCTACGGCGCCGTGGCTTGGAGCGAAGCGCGCGGTGTCTGCGATGCGTGACGCCCGAGAGAGGGTGCGGTTGACGGAGGGAACTCCGCGCGATGTGTGAAGCCTGTATGACTGCCCAGCAAAACAGGAGCGACACGGCTGGAGCGCTCACATAGCGCGAGGAAAATAAAACGAAATACAGATCTGAGACGAGGAACCTTTGCGTAAGTCCTTCTCCATAAGACAAAGCAAACAAACGAACAGGGAAACAAACTGCACAAAAAAAAAGGAAGGGAATAACTTCAAGAGCAGCAGCAACGTCTGCCTCTGCTGTGCTTCCTGGAGAGCTGCTTAGCTGGTTCGGAGCAGAAACAAAATAGATGGGTTCCAGGTGAACGAAGGAAGCTCCAGCCTGATATACACGAATATAAAAACAAAAACTCAGATAAAGCAAGGCCGACACTGCGTGAGGCTGTGCGCTCTTCGTCGCCTTGTTTTTTTTTTGCTGCCTCTGTGGACTTCGTTCTTTCCCCACTCTTCTTCCGTCCCTACCCCTTCTCCAAACACCTCGCCCCCTTCTCCGCTCCCAGATTTGTTTTTTGTTTTGTGTGTGTGTGTTTCTTGTCCCCCNCCACACCACAGCCTTCATATTTCCCATCGCTCTGGTGGTGCCTCCGCATGATGTGGTGGGGGAGCCGCCTCCAGGGACCCGGCATGCCCCAGTGGCGGCAGCAGCAAGGAGAATACACGAAGCAAATAAAGCAAAGGAAGGCAAAACAAATAAACAAAAAAAAACGGCACGACGGAAAGGAAGAAAAAAACGCAATGGGATATATATATATAGAGAGAGAGAGAGAGAGAGAGACGAGGGTAGAAGGAAATACAGGCAAAAGAAAAAAAAAGAATAAACCGAAAACAATAACAAGTGGGGCGATAGGCTCCGTGGAGCGAGGTGCGGGGGGTGGGGTGGAGGTGCGCAGGGACACGAGGGGAGACGGAGTTGTGTCCGGACGCCTCGCGTGGCAGAGTTTCATTATGCCCACCCCACAAACCAAACACGAAAAAAAAACCTCCACAAGAAAAAGCAAAAAAAGAAAGGAATAGAACAATAAATAAAAGAGACGGTGTGTGCTTTTCATTCTTGTGGCCTTTTTCGTTTTCGTTTGACTCCTGTGTGCTTTTCTGCCTGCCTGCGCCCTTCTTTTTTGCGTGTGGTGCCGTTGGCTTTGCCTGTGTTGTTTTTCGTTTGCTCTTCACGCCCCTCGACGGCCGCGTGCGGGCCCTCGCAGCGGGGCTCGCACGTAACTCTCTCCCTCTCTGCACATGTATAT